TAACCCCTGTGCATTGCCAGGTGTGACCCAAAAAGAAAAAAAAAAGTGGGCAATTGGATTTCTTTATGGTAACAATTAATGTCAGGATACAATGGGTTTGTCTGCCTGGTGTGCACAGAAGGAATTAGATTGGGATAAGATTGGGGAACAAAAAGTGTTTTTCTTATCTGGGGGTGAATGGGACACATTGAACTGTACTCAGGGCTTACTCCTGGGTCTGTGCTCACTCCTGGCAAGGCTCAGGGGGCCATATGCAGTGCTGAAATTGAATCCGGATCAGCTGCTGGCAAAGTTACTTTCCCCAACTTTACTAATTATCTAGTCCCAAGAAAGTATGTTTTCATTGTAAGATTGATCAGGCAGGAGATAGGAGAGTACCCTGAGATCTGTCTCCTTGTCTATTTGTCCCGGGAAACTTTTATTAGAAAAAAAAAGAGGGTGAGAAAAGAGGTTAGGAATATGGGGCTTTCAGTCTGGCAATGCCCCTTTCTAGACAATAGAGAGGCCTTTAAGTCATCTGTCATTTGGCCATCTGGATAGTGATATTTTTATATCCAGGGTGAAGGATCATAGATAAACAGAATGAGGGTCTTCTAGCCATCTGGATGGTGACATTTCCCCATGCACTTTAGATAAAAGTGTATTGTAAGTTAAATCAAGTTATTATTCGTTCTGTGTTTTTACTGGGCTCGCAATTTTGAAAGTTGGTGCACAGGAATAGAGGAATAATGTTCTATTTGTCATTATCTTTTACAAAGCAACAATCAAAATTTAATCCCACAAAGAACTCTAGGAAGAGTTGTAGTAAAACAAACAAACAAACAAAAAACCTCTGGAAAAGATTCATTGATTTTTGTTTGGTACAGGGCTTCAGTAGTTGAATATTCTGCAACTCCTCCTCTCACCACCACCAAATTTTAAAAAATCAAAGAATAAAAATGTTAATCTTTAATAGACACTGTGTACTGAGCAGTTCACATAAAACCCTAAAGGGAAAAATGGTTATTTCAATTTTTAAAAAGTTTTATGTTCCAAAACCCTCAGAACAATGGTTCATAGATGCATATAACTGCACATTTGGATTATTAAAGATCTTTCCAAAAGTGGGGGGTGGGGGGAACCACACCAAATCAGTTAGATCAGAATCTCTGAGAGTAGATCCGAATAATGATGTGTCTAGAAAACTCAACAGGTAACTGATTCCAAACGTAAGTGATTCCAAAAGTAGTTTATTTACTCAAAGCATGGTCAAGGATCTCAGCTATAGCCGCACTTGGGAACTTGTTAGGAAAGCAAATCTTCAGAAGGGATAGCAATGTTTATAAGGCAACTGGTAATTAACCCAAAGATTATCGGTAATACAATAATAGCGGGAAAATTCAACACCCTGCTCTCACAACTAAACAGATCAATTAGGGGCTGGAGGGATAGTACAGCGGGTAGGGCATTTGCTTTGCACGAGGCTGACCCCAGTTCAGTCCCCAGAATCCCATATGGTTCCCCTGAGCACTGCCAGGAGTAATTACTGAGTGCAATGTCAGGAGTAACCCCTGTACATAGCCGGGTGTGACCCTAAAAGAAAAAAAAAACAGACAAATAAAATAAAATAAAACAAAAAAATAAAATAAAATAAACAGATCAATCAGACAGAACATCAAGAAAATACTTACCATGAATGAGGAACTCGGATTAACAGACATGTCAAAGGGACCCCCCCAACCCCCACTAAACCATCCCTTAAAAGTCAAGTACACATTAGCTCCAGTACACGTGGAATATTTTCCAGGTAGTCTACATGATACTGGGGTACAATTTAAATGTCCATAACGTCATGAAAATAGAAAATATATCAAGTATCTTTTCAGACCCCAATTCCACGAAGGCAGAAATTATCTATAAAAAAGAAAACCAGAATAACCTCTAACACATAGAAAGTCAAGTAAATACTATTAAGGATCCTTTGAGTTAAAAGGAGCTTTCTTTAAGGAGTGAGCCTGTTAAGGAGAAGATGCGCAGGGGTTGGGCATGAGAACCATGATTGGGGTGTTGCTAAATTTGCACAGGTGTATAGGAACTATACACACATCGCAGCGATCATTAGTACCTAATTATGCAGCTTAGGAGCATGTAAATAAAATAAGTAAGTATTGGGGGCTTAGTGAGAAGAATGGTGAGTCATATTCTAGTCACTGAGCATGGTCCATAGGTGGCTGGAGCTCTTTTCCAAAGACCCCTCTTTGTCAGGAAGTTGTTAACAAAGGTTGTAGTCTCAAGATCCCTCTGTTTTTCTTTAGAAACAGAGATGGTCCTGTTTATTTCATATATAGTTTTTCCTATGGCCTTTTCTATAATTGCAGGAGCTCTATAAATGGAATCCATTTGACAATCAATGGATTGTCATTGGTATCTAGAAATGGTCAAAGTCAGTGACATCTGACTATGGAATTCATCGGTTCTGTTAGAATATATTTCACTTAGCATTTGAATATATTAGCTGATTTTTAGAATTGGTTTACAAATCTAAAAATATCATAATATTTTAAAAATTGGTTTGCAGCTCCTAATTATACTTTTTTAGAGAAAGCCATAATTCTTTTTTATTTGAGATTAACTTTTCTACTGTCTCCCGTTTCTTAAATCATTGACATTTGGAAGCAATCAGACAATAGAAAGGTGCAGGTGGGCTAGCAAGATAGTGCAGGGATAAAGATGAAGATCTTGCCTTGCACACAGTTCCCCCTGGTTCAATCCTTGGCCTAACATATGGTCCTCCAAGCACTGCCAGGAGTTACCCAGAGCACACAGCCAGAAATAGCCCTGAGCACCAAAGGCTATGTCTCAACCCCTCTCCCCACAAAGAAAGGCAAAGGTAGTATCTAAATAATTCTCAATCAAAGTTCTGTAAAAATAAACATGTCACCAGACCCTTCAACTAATTGGTGTCATTCATGATCATGATCATCCTGTTGTTCATCGATTGTCTTGAGCAGGCACCAGTAACATCTCCTTCGCCCTAGCCCTGAGATTTTAAAATCTTTCAGGGTTAGGAGAATGAGACCCATCGTTGTTATTGGTATTTGGCATATTGGGTACACCATAGGGAGTTTGCCAGACTCTGCCGTATGGGCAGGTTACATTCGGTAGCCTGCCAGGTTGTCCAAAGTAAGAATGATGTCGTGTGCTTCCAGGAGCTGGGTTTTATAGTCTCTGGGTCTTGGCTGTTGGTGGGATTTACACGGCACGGGGGGAGTGGGGAGGGGGCAATTGGTGGGTGTGACCCCTTCCTACTGGAAGATGGAAGATCTGGGTGGAGGATGCTCAGCTCTGATCCAAGCAGGCTTGGAGATCTCAGCCCAGGACCTGCATGCCTTTGTTCTTCTGCCGGTACCTTCATGCGTGTGGAGAGTGGTCTCAGCATGGTGGTGGCTGGTTCTGGAGGTCTTCGGCTGCCGGAGCTCTGCTCGGGGTGGGGAGGGAAACTCAATCTGCCCCCCTGAAAGGGGCCCCAGCAAGGACAGCCAGGCGCGGGGGCAGGAAACTCTGATTGGTGTCATTAAATTTAGCAAACTCCTATAAGCAAATTAATTTATGATGCTTGCCCATGTTAGCTAGTGCTAGAGCCAAGTTCATCTTCTTCAAATGTATGTGGTATCTTTTCTTTTGCTATTTCAGCTTTCTAAAAATGTCCCCCACCCCACACTACAATTAAGACATATTTCAAGAGTCTATAAAGTTTTCTTTGATCTCCCTGCCAGATGTTATTGCCCCATTTTTAATCTCTGAATAATCTGACAACATTTGTGATTTTCTTAATGATTGGGACCCCACTCCCTACTGGATTATAGTCAGTGGAAATCTGGGCTTCTTGTTTCTAAGAAGGTATACTGACTTACAAACACTTTATCCATTCCCCTTAGAGTCAAGGAGAGTGTTTACTTCACAGCATCTCAGATATTCCCCTGCAAAGATCTGTCTCCACAGTAGAGATTCCCTGTTCCACTAGGCAGTAAAAAGCCAGATGTGGCAAAAGTACCTGAGAAACTCAACACAATCTAGTGTGGACATTCACCTGGTTCTGAAGCTCAGGAGTAAGACACCCACCACTACCACACATCTGAGTCAGGATTTTCCTTTGGTTTTAATCCTCAAGCAAAGCTTAATTTTGTTTGAATACTGCTTGAGTCAACATCTGCTTGGATACTTACCTCATTCCTCTCTTCAAACTCGAGTAGAGAAAAGGATATTGGTTATTATCAGGTCATTTCCAATCCCAATAATAAAGATGAATTATTGAAGCACTTACAGATTCTCGTGAAGTCTATTATTCAGATAGCACTCAAAGGACCATTTTTTAGGTCTTACTGGCTCTTTTGTGGTAGGTGTGGTGTGATAACGAGCACTTGAAGAGATGTACCTGTACTCCTAAGACATGGTCGGGGACATAAACCAATGTTTCCCCAATTAAAAGGAAAAGAGGCCCTGGGAGAAGATTCAATGGGCTGAGCTCTGCACGCTGGAGGCCGGAGCTCCATCCCCAGCACCACATAGGCATTTGAGCACCACCGAGAGCAACTTCCAAACTCAGAGCTGAGAATAGCCCCCCAGCACGACCAGCTATGGCCTCAAAATCCCAAAATTAAATGAATAAGTACAAAGAAAATGGGAAAGAAAAAGTCATTTATTCATCTGAATCAAACACCATAATCCAGGTGCATAAAGCCGATGTGATATAATTTTTCTTATGCTCTTGTCTCCACAAACCATGATTTTAAATGTCACTTTTGGAGATATTAACAAAATACAAATTGTTCCGTATCTAGCATCATACATTTATTTCCTTATTATACATACATTTCTACTTTTATGTAAACCATTGTGCACTTCTGTCATATAAAAATGGAAATATATAAACCTTAAAAATCAATAAAGAAATCAAGACACTGTATATCTTTACAAGGTAAACCTTAAAAATCAATAATGAAAGCAATATACTGGATATCTCAGCAGTCTCTGAGGTCTCGTTTTTTGCCCTTTTTTGATTTTTTAATTTTCTCTTGATGAACGGTGTCGTTCTCCAATAGGGCTATTTTCGAGAGTCTCTGTAAGAACTGAGGTGATGCTCCAGGGATAGGATCCTGAAAGCCAGAGCCTGGGAAGAAAAAAGGTTCCGTTATTACAACTAAATGATGCACACCTGAACAATAGTCTCTAAAACAGGTTCCCAGCCAGGGATTGTAAAGTTAATCTGAGGTGACGATTTGGATGATAGAGGTGAAGAAATGGCCAGGTCCAGTGGGGGCTGGAGAGAGAAGACAGCAGGTAAGGGCTTGCCTTGCACATGGCCCACCCAGGTTCTAGTCCCTGCTTCACATATGATCCCCAGAGAACCACCAGGAGTGCTTTCTGAGAACCGAGTGAGGGCTAAGCCCTGAGCACTGCTAGGTGTGACCTGAAAACAAAACAAACACACCAAAACAGTAAAGGCCCAGAAAGTGGCTCAGCTGCGTAGGTGTTCCAAGCACCAGGATTCCATGCATGAGGTGCTGAGTTGGAAACAGCACCAAAACAAACAATTTAAAAAAAAAGTCAGATTTAGCAAGGCCAAAATCTTACCCTGGGCAGATACTTAGTAACTGTTAGAAGCAGAATTTAAACCCAGAAATATCAAATTCAAAGTTGCCATGTCATGAGTAAATTTTCACCATATTGACCTAAATAGGTCCTAAGTATAACATTTTAAACATAACGTGAAACCATGTAACTTTAAAATATACTTTTAATGCACAGTTTCAAGTGTCAAAAAAAATCTCAATTATCCAACTAGATTATTTTTTACTTGCTTTGTTTCCTGTGAATGTGTAACGTGAGTGGAAATTTCAGAGAGTATAAAAGGGAAAGCTATGAGCGGATTTCCTGTTCTGAGCTGTATGGAGAATCTGTGCTGGGAGACACCATGGCTACAATTTTTTTTTAATTGAATCACCGTGAGATACAGTTACAAGCTTTCATGTTTGAGTTTCAATTATACAATGATCAATGATCAAACACCCATCCCTCCACCCATGCACACTCTCCACCACCAATGTCCCCAGTATACCTTTCCCACCCTCCCCCTGCCTCCATGGCAGACAATTTCCCCATACTCTCTCTCTACTTTTGGACATTATGGTTTGCAATACAGATACTGAGAGGTTATCGTGTTTGATCCTTTATCTACTTTCAGCACATATTTCCCATCCCAACCAATCCCTCCAACCATTATTCTCCTAGTGATCCCTTCTCTATTCCAGCTGCCTTCTACCCCAGATCATGAGACAGGCTTCCAACTATGGGGCAATATTCCTGGCCCTTGTGTCTACTGTCCTTGGGCATCAGTCCCATATTATGTTATTCTGTATTCCACAAATGCATGCAGTCATTCTATATCTGTTCCTCTCTTTCTGACTCATTTCACTTAGCGTGATACTCTCCTTGTCCATCCACTTCTAAGCAAATTTCATGACTTCATCTCTCCTAACAGCTGCATAGTATTCCATTGTGTAGGTATACCAAAGTTTCTTTAACCAGTCATCTGTTCCCAGGCACCTGGGTTGTTTCCAGATTCTGGCTATTGTGAACAGTGCTGCAATGAGAATATAGGTGTAGATGTCATTTCTACTGTGATTTTTTTTGCATCCTCGAGATATATTCCCAGAAGTAGTATTGCGGGGTCATATGAAAGCTCAATTTCTAGTTTTTTAAGGACTGTCCATATTGTTTTCCAGAATGGCTGGACTAGTGGGCATTCCCACCAACAGTGAAAGAGAGTCCCTTTTACCCCACATCCACGCCAGCATCAGTTGCTTTTTTCTTTTGAATGTGTGCCAGTCAGTCTCTGTGGTGTAAGATGATATCTCATTGTTGTTTTGATTTGCATCTCCCTGATGATTAGCAATGTGGATCATTTTTTCATGTGTGTTTTGGTCATTTGTATTTCTTTTTTGAGGATGTTTCTGCTCATTTCTTCTCCCTATTTTTTGATGGGGTCGGGGTTTTTTTTTCTTGAACAATTCTACAAGTGTTTTGTATATCCTGGATATTAATCCCTTATCAGATGAGTATTGGGGGAAATATTCTTTCCCATTCTGTGGGCTCTCTCTGTATTTTGGTCACTGTTTCCTTTGAAGTGCAGAAGCTTCTTAGTTTGATGTAGTCCCATTTGTTTATGTTTGTTTCCACTTGCTTGGTCAGTGTTGTTTCATCCTTAAAGATGCTTTTAGCTTCAATGTCATGGAGGGTTCTGCCTACATTTTGGATTCATGTCTGCTATTGAGGTCTTTAATCCACTTTGATCTGACTTTTGTGACTGGTGCTAGACAGAGGTTAGAGCTCATTTTTTTACATGCAGCTATTCAGTTGTCCCAGCACCACTTGTTGAAGAGGATTTTTTTGTTCATGGCTACAATTTAACTAGGCAAAATGTGAAGATTTCAAAAAAAAAAGGAAACAATAACATTTTTAAGATATTATGAACTAGGACTCGAAAAGAAAAACAAGAAAACAGAGAGATGCTTTTTTTCAAAGTTTTAAAATTTGCAAGCTATTACCACGAGAAAGAGAGAGAGAGAGAGAGAGAGAGAGAGAGAGAGAGAGAGAGAGAGAGAGAGAACTAAGAAGTAAAATAAGAAATGAGAGGCTGGGGGTATAATTCAGTGGTAGAATACTCGCCTTCCTTGTGTGACACTCTTGAATTCAATCCCTGGCTCCACAAAAGAAAGTTAAGTTTAAAAAATTATAATAGGGACCAGTGTAGTGCAGTGGGGTAGGGTATTTGCTTTGTACATGGTTGCCTGGTTCTATTCCTGGCATCATAAATGGTCCCCTGAGTCCACCAGGAGTAATCAGAGAAGGAGTAACCCCCAAATATTACCAGATGTGGTCCCCGAACCAAAAATAAACAAATAGGTAAATAAAGAAACAAATATAAGGACCAGAGAGGCATGGCAGACCTGGGTTTGATTTCTGGCACTTCATACGGTTCCTCAGAACCAGCAGCCGTGATCCCTGAGCACAGACTTGGAAGTAAGCCCTGAGCATCGCAGGCTATGACCCAAACCATGGCCTCCTGCCCGCAAAGATTGAGGACACAAATAAATATTAGAAAAAGAGGAATAAATAAAATACTACATTTTATGCCAATGCATTTTAAAACATAAAATTTAAAAATCTAGAAAAAAATATCTTACTAAAATTAAAGAATTTGATTACCTTAAGGATCCTAAAATTAGAATAATTGAACCAATGTTAAAGCAGTCTCCCAAAGAAATCAAGTGATTCCAATGCTTTCCCAAATTAATTTTATCGGATTTTCAAGGGAGAGATCAATGCATTTTTATTTTTATTTCTAGGGGACCATACCTTGCAGTGCTCAGCGCTTACTCCTAGCTCTGTGATCAGGGATCACTCCTGGAGATGTTTAGGGGACCATACAGGATGCCAGGGATTGAACCAGGGTCAGCCATGTGCAAGACAAACCGCCTGCGAAGGTTTAGTTGCCAGTATCATATAATGCCTGCTGGCCAGCACCATGAGTGATCCCTGAGCCATCCCCCCAAAATAAAAAAAGGGTAAGCAAACTCGTGTGCTAGTGAAGGTGTAGTAACTTGGCACACCAAAACCAGACGGAATTAACACTACTGAAACCAAATTACCTAACTACAATTAAACTTTTTTTTTATTTACAAAGGAAAAGAAATTTGACTAAGATTAGTTGTTTTGTTTTGTTTTTAAATTTAAACTACAAAGAGATGGTACAGGAGATAAGGTGCTTGCCTTGATGGTGCAGAGGATAAGGTGTTAGCCTGGCACCTGGTAGACTCGGGTTGGATAGAAGCTCTGGAAGGTAGGTCATTTTGTTTTGCTGAGGTATGTACCATAAGCTCCAGTACCTAGTACAATGACTGGCACAGAGCAAATACTCAATTTATATATGAATGAATGAACTGCTTTGTGTCTGACTCTGAAGGGAAATCAACAAGTATCTACTGAAGACTCAGTATGTTACAGAAACCAGTGTAAGCCCCGCAAGGATTCAGAGATGAATAAAATAATGGTACCCAGTACAAAAGGTAAAAGGTAAAGGTAAAGGCCCTCCCGTTGATCGTCGATTTGCTCGAGCGGGCCCAGTAACGTCTCCATTGGAGACTTTGTTGTTACTGTGTCTGGCATATCGAATACTCTCGGTAGCTTGCCGGGCTCTCCAAGAGGGGCGGAGGAATCGAACTCGGGTCGGCCATGTTGGCCGCTTGTAAGGCGAACGCCCTACCCGTTGTGCTATCGCTCCAGCCCAGTACAAAAGAGTGACAAAGCTGATCTGTAAAAGAAGTAAGCAAGTATTTTCTTGGATCAAGATGAAAAACAATTGTCTCTTGTTCTAATTAACATTTGTATTTTTATGTCCTGCTGCCTGTTGCTTAGAGAACTAGCTTGTAGTATCTGGAGACTTAGAGAAAAGATGTTTATAAGAAAAGCTCATGAACATTTGGCTCTATGAACTTCCATAGATTGAACTTGCAACATGACTAATAAGTCAATTATTGACTGTTAATGAAAATACCAAAAAAAGGTTTAACTTAGTTGTTTCACGTTTTGTTCTTTGTTTGGAGATGTTCTGTTTACTCCATTATTTCGTAAATGCAAAATCATGGAAGTGATTAACACAAAAGAAAACAATTATGGTTGTGATAAAAAATAATAAGTTTTTTTGTTTGTTTTGGGGCCACACCAGCTATGCTCAAGGGTCATTTACTCTTGGCTCTGTGCTTAAGGATTACTCCTGGAAGAGCTTGGAATAATCGTATAGAGTGCCCTACTCACTGTACTATTTCTCTGGCCCACAAATTAGGCTTAAAATTTTTTTTTGCAGTGATGGGGATAAACCTAGACCCTTCACACTTATGTAATACGTGCAGAATTAACGTACATGCTTTGCATATAGGAGGTCTTGGTTTAATTCCCAGAACCTCCTAAATTCCTGAGCACTGGTGTGTGTGGCCCCCAAATCAAAGGAACACACAGTAGCACTGTCCTCCTGTTGTTCATCGATTTGCTCGGGTGGGCACCAGTAACGTCTCACAACAAATTGTGAGACTTGTTGTCACTGTTTTTGGCATATCAGATACACCACGGGTAGCTTGCCAGGCTTTGCCATGTGGGCGAGATACTCTCGGTAGTTTGCCGGGCTCTCTGAGAGAGGCGGAGGAATCGAACTCAGGTTGGCTGCGTGCAAGGCAAATGCCCTACCCACTATGCTATCACTCCAGCTCAAAGGAACACAAAAAAAGAAAATCTTAAATAACTGACAAAATTATTTTATATGTTAACAAAAAAGAAATAATTTTATAATCTGGGTGGCAAGCACAAATAACCTATGTTAATGATGTGATGGTTACACCAGTGATTTTCAACCAGGGCAATTTTTGTTACACTAAGGACATTTGGCAAATGTCTGGAAATGTTTTTGATTGTCATAATCTGAAGAGAGCTGGAGGCATCTTGTGAGTAAAGGTCACAGATGCTGTTGACCATTCTCCAACGCACAGGAAAAAATCTCTACAAAAAGATTTAAACACGATGGTAATAAAACTCTTGAAAAATCTGGACTATAATCAGCAAAAGACATGAAAATAAAATTGACAAAACAGAAAAGCAGTTTAAAAGCATATAACTAAAAATCTTTATCACTAATTCTTGGGACCAAAGAGATAGTACAATGGGTAGGGCATTTTCCTTTGCATGTGATCAACCTGGATTCAATTCTCAGTACACCACATGGTTTCCCAAGCCCACAAGGAATGATTTCTAAATACAGAGCCAGGATTAATCCCTGAGCATCAGAGGGTGTGGCAAAAAAAAAAAAAAAATCTTCATCACTAATTCTGGATTAAATTACTTAATTACTTCAGGAAATGTTAAAAATTTATTGGAAAACTGAAAAGTAAGACTAGGCATTATTTCACACTTCATGTATTGTTCCCTTAATGCAATTCTACCAAGAATCCATAATATATAAAGGTAAGGGTTGAGATTCAGAGAGAGAGCTCAATGAGATGAATGCATGCTTTGAGTTATGGGAAGCCTGAATTGAATCCTCAGTACTTCATGTACTGCCACGAGTGACCCCTGAGCACTGAGCAGGATTGGCCTTTGAGTACTGCTGGGTGTGACCCAAAAATACAGACCCAAAATAAAGAGAGAGAGAGATAGCAATAAGTACAGATAGCAGAACTCCTAGGACATCCTGTATAGGTTCGTAGACATCATTAAAAAGTATGATGGCCTAACTCATTAGATTTATCAATGTCTGTTTTTGAAAAATCAAATTCTGATCCAACTGATCAGAAAAATGGAAATACAAATGTCTAATTTAAAAGTTTAAAAAGGACAGGTTCATACTTCAGATATGGTAGAAGTACCCAGGGTGTGCTATAAACATTCTAAAGTCTTTGAAATAAATCAACATAAAGAGTAGCTTTTGAAGAACTTAGGCTGTGGGCATGTGAATAAGCTTCTATGGTTGGACATTAAAGGTACACCAGATTCATGAAAATTTAAGTAGAAGACCGGACTAGGAGGGATGGAAAGAGGGAGGTGGTAAAATCCATTATCAAGTTTGTGTTCCCACTTTAGTCTGTGGGTCATGAGGGCCAGCTGTTTTTGAAGAAGGGAGGGAGTGGCATAATTAGAAGGCAAAGTTTTAGGCTTTCCTCACAGCACTGAAGAATTTAAAAGGTCAGAGTTTTCAAACAAGAAAACCAGTTTTCAAACTATTGAGAAGTGAGGAGAGCCTATCCCAGGGAGCTAATAATAAAGATATATATATACATATATATACACATATATGTATATATTTCATATATATGGATATATGCATCCTGGTAACCATATATGCATATATGTTTATATATGTAGTTAAAATATATTTACTTGTTTATTAAATAAAGCTTAAGAAACATTAAAAAAAAAAGAGACATGACTTCTTAACAAAGAAGTGTGGCAAAAGAAAAGGATGAATCAACTTTACCTTTTGATTTCTCCTTAAGTGGCATCAATGAGTATACCGGCTTCATCTTCTTTAACCTACAATTTCACATTATCATAAAGTACTTTTATATGCATACAGGGCACATTAATTTTTTTTAAAACTACAAAATGAGGCAAGAAGTCTTAAAACTACAAAATACTGTTAGTGAAACTCACTTAGCATACAACAACACATGGATTTAAATCAACATTAGAGAAAGGAATGTCCTTTCATCAAAACTAACCCAAGGAGAATAAACATAAGCAAATTCAATATACTTGCTTCTGGGCTGGGGCAACAGCTCAGCAGGGCCATGGCACATGCTTTGTGTGTGGAAGACTCAGGTTTGATCTCCAGCACCTCAAATTTCTTGAGCATTACCAAGTATGGCCCAAACAAGCAAAAATTCAAAATATGTTATAGCTTGCTGTTTGCTAAAAAAAATGTTATCTATTGGTAGATGAATGCTATGACTAACCATTCACTTTTTATCATGATGTGTTTTTAGGTTTTCTTCATTCTCACTATTTCTGATTCAGGCTAAGAGGAAGGGAATCAAGATTATATTACCCAGATATGTGAATATGCCAGATCTAACTATAACTCTTTTGTATGCTTACTATCTATTAATCACATGAATCTGAATTTTTTTTCATAATTAATGGCAGTTCCTAGATAAAACAAACATATATTGGGTCTTAATAATAGATCAGTTATTGGAGAAAATAGGTCATGACTGAATCTTTTCTAATCAAGATCACCCAAATTAATTGAAAATTTCTTACAATCACATTAAAAAATTTTGGGAGGTCGTATCTGGTGATTCCCTGGGGGGCTATAGGATGCCAAGGGTCCAACCCAGGCCTCCATCATACAAATCAAGTGCTCAGACTGTTGAGTCATCTCTCTGGTCCATGAAATCGATTTTTTTTTTCAATATTCTTTGCCTCTAGGTGAAAGAGTGACTATCTCCTGATACATTATCAAAGAATGTCTTAAAATTCACTAACATTTATTATCATTCAAAAAATTTCAAAAACACACTAGACTTCCATCAGAGTTTTTAAAAATAAAATAATTGCATATGGGAAGAGAGAAAAGGGGAAGGATGATGTACACAAAACACTATTTCAAACATGAATACTTCCCTGGTCGGCCAAAACTGTTCTTTCAAAGGTGCGACCCACAGAGGAGAATAAAATAATTTCAGGAAACTCCACATGCCCTCATTGGAATAGCTAAAATAAATTTATTTCAAAGACGGGGGAAAGCTCATATTTATCTTCGCAAAGTACTCATTAGCAGCATTCTGGCACTTAGCCACAACTCTGTGCATGGAGAACATTAACACAAATATAACATTTTCCTATTATCCTCTGTAGGCTTAAGCAAATTCACAGTCAAGTCGATGCAAAATATTGAGGGGGGAAAATCATTTCACGAACAATCAAGTTTTAAATAATGAAACAGAAACTGAAATAAGGTCAAACAATAGGAAGTAAAATAAATGAGTTCATTCAGTGAGAGTTTCCCAGCCTTCTGGATTCTTTAAGATGATCACATGCAACCCTTGAGCATTGCTGGGTGTGATTCAAAAAGGAAAGAAAAAAAACATCACAAGCACTGAAAGAAAGTGAATTCGGCTAATCCTATACCACCCCAAACCATTGTGATTACAATGAAAATTCCACAAGCAAGCTGGGTGTAAGGAATTCAGGTCTAGTAAGTGATGAAAACTCACTCTTCTTCAGAGATGGTTCCAAAGGTCACGTCTTTCTCTATTCAACTGCTCTCCATTCTTTTTATAACTGCTATCACTTCCCCTCCAAACAATTTATGATCCCTCATCTTCTCTGATTATGCCTTATTTCATTATATTCACTTCAGAAAGAGTAGTTTTGCTTTTTATTTACATGTACACACATTTGTATGTGTGAGAGATAAAGAAAGAAAGAAAGAAAGAAAGAAAGAAGAAGAAAGAAAGAGAGAGAGAGAGAGAGAAAGAGAGAAAGAGAGAGGGAGGGAGGGAGGGAGGGAGGGAGGGAGGGAGGGAGGAAGGAAGGAAAGAAGGAAGAAGAAAGAAAGAAAGAAAGAAAGAAAGAAAGAAAGAAAGAAAGAAAGAAAGAAAGAAGAGAGAGAAAGAGAGAGGGAGGGAGGGAGGGAGGGAGGGAGGGAGGGAGGGAGGGAGGGAGGGAGGAAGGAAGGAAGGAAAGAAGGAAGAAAGAAGGAAGGAAGGAAGGAAGGAAGGAAAGAAAGAAAGAAAGAAAGAAAGAAAGAAAGAAAGAAAGAAAGAAAGAAAGAAAGAAAGAAAGGAAGGAGGGGAGAAGGAGAGAGCAGGAATACAATACAGATCTGCCATGTACAAGGCAAGTCTACTACCACTAATCAGGTATGTCTGTCCTCAGGAAAGGATGAAGATGGTCAGAGCAAAAGCACAGGGTAGAGTGCTTCCCTTACATGTGGTCAACACAAGTTTGATTGCTGGCATCCCTTATGGTCCCCCTATCATTGTCAGGAATGATCCCTGAGAGCAGAGCCAGTAATAAGCCCCCAGAATAGCTAAGTGTGGCCCCAAAACATAATAAAAATAAACAGAAAGAGACAGCAAACAACAAAATCATTATTATAATGTGGCCAGTGGTGTATTCAATATGCCAAAAACAGTAACAATACCGGGTCTCATTCCCTTGACCCTGAAAGAGCCTCTAACAGGGCAAGTTGGGAAGGATGAAAGGAGAGGCTGTTAAAATCTCAGGGCTGGGACGAATGGAAACGTTACTAGTGCCCACTCAAGCAAATGGATGACAGTGCAGTAGTGCAACAAGTGCTAATGTGGCCAGTGAATACTGTTTGAAGACAATGTAGTGATGAGAGAGGCAGATATATATATATATATATTATATATATATATATATAATATATATAATATCAAGGATTTTTTTTTAGGTAGAATATTGAAAGGTTTGGCTCTGCAAGGCCCCAGCACCTTGAGAATGGCCTGGGTATCCACAGCACTGCATTTTGGGGGCCTTGTGTTGAACTGCCAGCTGGCCCCTTTAAGAATTGCCAGAATTCAAAGTCAGTGGGACTTTTCTGGCTGACAACTTCATTTCTGAAGACAATGTAGAATCTTCATTAGGCTGACATAAGAATCTCCCTTCACACTAATATAAACTAGAATTGAAACCCAAAATGGTATATTCAGGGTACCAGATAGAAACCAGATAGTAACCCCCCAAAAAAACAGAATAAAAGTTGCACGTAGATTAAAATCAAAGCATGAAGAAAGAACCATGAAAATGGAAGTAAGAGAATGTTTCCAAATAAAACTTGAAATTTTAGGATGGTAAATTATCAAGTACTCTTCCCCCCATTTTATATAAAAAACTGATTTATTTTCATATGTTGGGTAAAATTAATACACAACTTCTCATTTCCACTGTATTCTATTATTAGAATTTGCCTCAAGTGTGGAATGGAGCAATAGCACAGTGGGTAGGGCATTTGTCTTGAATGTGGCTGACCCTGGTTTGATTCCTCCATTCCTCTCAGAGAGCACGGCAAGCTACCGAGAGTATCCGCCTGCAAGGCAGAGCCTGGCAAGCTACTGTAAGATACTCGATATACCAAAAACAGTAACAAGTCTCACAATGGAGACGTTACTGGTGCCCGCTTGAGCAAATCGATGAACAACAGGAGGACAGAGCTACAGTGCTACCACAAGTGTAATAAACAAGAACAAGAGTGGTAACAGAAACCTCAAGAAATAAATTCTAAAATTCCAAATTATGTATAACTGGATGATTTCAAGCCTATCCCTATTATGGTCGGGGATAATATGAAACTATAAAAAAAATCCTGAAATAGGCATGGGTATTTGATCATTGTATAACTGAAACCAAAAAATAAAAAAATAATTTTAAAAAATCCTGAAAAAAAAAGAAGTTGCACTTCAAATTATTATAAATTTTCTTTTCGATTAACAAAGTAGACAAATAGTAAATATCCAACACTCCATAAATAATCAATGAATATATGACAAAGCAGAATAGAATATGTATCCAAAGAGAATGTGAAATAATAGATCTTTTTGGAGAAAGAAGTTTCTTTTATGTCTGTTTTGGGCCACACAGAGCAGCCCTCAGGCTTATTCTTATCTTCGTGCTCAAGGACCACTCCTGGAGGTGCTCAGGGAACCAGATGTGTGCTGGGGACTGAACTCAGGTTGGTAGGGTGTAAGGCAAGAGCCTTACCTGTCTTTCTAACGAATGGTAAGTCAGTATGATTTAGAGTAGAAAAGATGTTTATTTGGTTTTTAATTTATTGTGGTGCCAGGAAGTGAATCAAGGGCCTTACACTGCAAGGCCAATATTCCACCATAAATCTACTTCCCTGACCCCAAGGAAGGGTTATTTATAATAATGTTTTAAATGCCAGTGTTCAAAGTCTATAGGACTCTTCTGGCTGGAAGCCTCATTTCTGAAGACAATGCAGAATCTTCATTAGGCTGACATAAGAATTCCCCTTCACACTAATGTAAATAATAATTGAAACCCAACATAGTATATTCAGGGTACAGAAATGTTCTAGAATTGCAGAGAGTTCATTTACTTTTCCTACTAAAAAAAATCCAATACTCTCATGGGCTGCTTACATTATGAAAATAAATTATTGTATTTGTTGTTTTTTGGGTCAGTCATGTGCAAGGCCAGAGATCTAACCACTGTTCTATCACTTTGGTCCCAATAAATCATCTTTTTAAATCACTATCACTATCACTGTCCTCCCGTTGTTCATCGATTTGCTCGAGCAGGCCCAGTAACGTCTCCATTGGAGACTTTGTTGTTACTGTGTTTGGCATATCGAATACATCACGGGTAGCTTGCCAGGCTCCGCCGTGTGGGCGAGCTCTCTAAATTCTGATGGTGTCATTCAAAAACAGAAAAGTAGTGACTTCGGGGGCTGGAGCGATAGCACAGTGGATAGGGCATTTGCCTTGCACATGGGCAACCTGGGTTTTATTCCCAGCATCCCATATGGTCCCCCAAGCACTGTAAGGAGTAATTCCCGAGTGTATGAGCCAGGAGTAAGCCCTGTGCAATGCCAGGTATGGCCCCAAAAAGAAAAAAAAAGTACCCAACAAATCATATATTTAAAAATGAATAAATTCTTTATGGGGAAAAAAAGAGTAGGAGAGAATAAATTAGATTCACTTATCCAAAAAGCTCTAGCACTGACAGTGTTGTTACAAAACCCAGTAGGAGCTGGAGAGACAATTAACAGGCTAGAGTGTGCAGAAGGCCTGATTGCCTCCCTGGCCCTGCATAATTCCCAACACTGCCAGGAGCGACTTCTGAGCACTGAGCCGAAGAATGCCCTGAGTATGGCCAGGTATGGCCCAATGCAACAACAATAACAACAACAACAAATAAAGAGAATTGAAGAGAAATGATCTACCTGACCGGAAGCATCTCTGGGTCAGAGTGCAGTTGCCTTTCTGGAATCTGTAGTGGAGCTGAACTTCTTGGACAACATTGAAATTCTGGTAAATATGGCATTTTGATGGATTCTTTTAACTCTCCTATACCAAATGCTGTGGTGCAGTCTATTTAAAATATCATAAGAATTTACATTACTTTATTATATTTTTTAGGTCACACCAGCAATGCTCAGGGGTAGCTCTTGGCTTTGCACTCAGAAATGAATCCTGGTGGTGCTCAAGGAACCATATGGGTCCAAACCCAGGTCCTTGATTTGCCAGGCACTGAACCCAGGTTGGCTGTGCACAAGGAAAATGTCCTAGCCACTGTACTATTGCTCTGGACCCCAAGAATACACATACATTCCTTCTCTTTTTTTTTTGCTTTTGGGGTCACACCTAGAGATGCATAGGGGTTACTCCTGGCTCTGCACTCAGGAATTACCCCCTGGCAGTGCTCAGAGTACCATATGGGATGCTGGGTATTGAACCCGGCTTGTCCATGTACAAAGCAAACACCCTGTGCTATTGCTCCAGACCCCATTCCTTCTTAATTACGTGAATATAATGTCTTTTACCACAGACTAAATGACACAGTATGATAGACGGTCAATAATTAATCAAGAAAATGAACTGACTCTAACTGAACTAACACTTTTCCCACTAAAATGCCTTTCAGTTCACTGTGAGTGTGGTGGGCGCTGTGGAGACTGGGTCTGATCAGAACGCACTGGGGCCCTTTTGATTTTCCCTGCATGAAAACTGGTCCCTAGCAGCCCAACTTTCTGGGAACTGTGCACGCAGGCGGTGGTCAAGTGGAACTTTTTACAGAAAAAATAGTCAGGCTCAGTCTCTACCAGGATTTAGGCAATTCATCTTCTGCCGCAAAGAAGAATGTCAGGAGAAGGCAGAGAGTGAAGTAAAATAATTTTGCTGAGGGAGAATATTAATTCTCAGATGAATGTGGGGTTCATTGGAGAGTAGGGAGAGAGGAAGGAAATTCATGCACTAAGCAAGGACATGGTAACTCCGGGGTGGGGCACCTGCAGAGCTGGGTTTTCTGCACTTCTCCCACTCTCCACCCATTCTTGAACTGCAGTGTAACACAAGCCAGGACAGCCAGAATTAACTTGGGCTCAGTAAGTCCTTGATTTGGAATTAATTTGTGGTCGCTGTGCATTCAGAAGCCTTTTACCGTCACCCATTTTTTTCACAATCCCAACATGATTACACAATCCCATATGGGCTGTTGACCCACACTTGAAGCAGTTGTGCTGTAAAAGAAGAGATTATGGCACCCACAGTTGGGATGTGGGCACCTCCAGAGTAGAGTGCCCCTTAAAGGAGAGAAGTTATAGGACCAGGGAGATAGTGGGAGAGGCAGGCATGCATGATTTGCAATCAGGAAGCCCTGGGTTCAATCCTGGCACCCCTGAGCGTGCCAAGAGCAGCTTCCAAGCACTGGGCTGAGATGCAGGCGGCCCCAGAATGGACTGCGTGCACTGAGTTCCTTAGGAAAACTGAATATATGTCTTTTCTGGGCCACCGTAGCCTAGTGGTCTGTGCAGATTACAGTTTCTTGTCCAAGACTTTGAAGTTCAGAGATATTCTTCCTCCAGAATCATATTTGGGCCTTTTTTCCTGCTGAACCATGCCCTGAGGTAAGGTTCTAGCCTCGGGTTTGGACGAGGTCAGTCTTAAATTAGAGTTTTGATCTGGTCTTCAAACTGGGAAGATAGTCTTCCATCCAGGGCTGGGCAGAGCAAGATTATTCCTTTTCATGCATCCTGGTTTCAAAGTTTTTTAATTCTGGGGCTGGAGAGAGATTTAGCAGGTAGGGCATTTGCTTTGCATGTGGCTGACCTGGGTTCAGTCCCTGGCCTCCCATATGGTCTCCTAAGCACCTCCAGGAGTGATCCCTGAGCGCAGAGCCAGGAGCAAGCCCTGAGCACCGCCAGGTGTGGCTCCAACACACACACACACACACACACACACACACACACACACACACACAATGTTAAACAAAATTTATAAAAAACAGACATATTCAAGGCATTGTGTCTATATTTTCTTTTTAAAAGTTACATATAAAATGAAGTTACCTTTTTTAAGTTTTTGTGATTCAAAAACTGTTTTTCTCCAATTGCTCTCAAAAATAAAACAACTGTCAAGGGCATTTCTGGAGATGTTAGAAGACTCATATTTTATTTCAGGAAGTAGTACTGACATTTTTTCTTCTTCCTTCAAAAGTGCTGCTGAAAGTGAGATGTTCCTTCAGATTCAAACACAAAATATGAAACAAACATATTTCAGTTCTTTCTATATTAAATATGTAATATTAACTTATTTTAAATGAAAATTGTTAGTTTATTTGTAACATGCAATACATTGTCTGGAATCTTGAAGTTTTTAAAGATATGGCTAAAATGAGTAGAAAATGTTTTCTTTCTCATTATGAAATTTGTTTATAAATGATGTACATGGGGAGTATCATGCTGAGTGAAATGAGTCAGAAGGACAGGAACAGGACATAGAAGAATTGCACTCATTTGTGGGATATAATATATATATATATATATATATATATATATATTATGAGACTAATACCCAAGGACAGTAGAAACAAGGGCCAGGAGGAGTGGTCTACGGTTGAAGCCTGTTTCAAGTGCTGGGAGATAATGCAGTTGGGATAGGGAAGGGACCACTATTACAAATATAGTTGGAAATGATCACTCTGGATAAGAACTGCGGGCTGAAAGTAGGTAAAGGAACAAACAAGGTAATCTCTCAGTATCTGTATAGCAAACCATAATGCCCAGAAGGGGGGAGGGAGGGGGTAGGAGAGGGAGAGGAAGAGAGAGAGACAGAGACATACAGAGAGTCAGAGACAGAAAGAAAATGCCTGCCATTGAGACAGACTGAGTGGGGAGGACAAGGAGGAGGCGGCAGGAGAGAAACAAGGGACATCCCTGGTGAGAAATGTAACTGGTGGAGGGATGGGTGTTGGAACATTGTATAACTGAAACCTGATCAGATAACCTTGTATTGTATCTCACAGTGATTCAATTTTTAAAAAAATTTCTTATTTTTAAGATGACTCCTTTCAAATTATAGGTCACATATATTTATCAATAAAATATTTGTTTTTAATTTTTTTACCAATTTTATTGAGGTACAAGGATTGACTGTACCATGCTTTTCTGCATCTGTCCTTCCCACACCACACCCTCCCCACAGAGCCACATCCCTCTACCAGTGTCTGAAGGGCCGTTCCCAGTAACACCCCTCCCATTTAAGCTCAGTTCGGTGGGAAACACTCCAGTTTTAATGATTTTGGCCATTTATTATTTCTTTAATGTTTCTCTATATTCCATATATGAGGAGTTCCTTTTTAAGTGCAACAAACAGCATATTGTCATGTAAAAGATAATAAAATATTTAAGATTCTTTTTTAAAAAATACCCTTATATACCATGCACACATGGAATGTATCTCTGGCATGGAAGGATGGTTCGACATAGAAAAATTAGTTAATGTGTGATACTATTAAGGAAATAAAGTTAAAATATAATATGGTCATCTAGGGCGTTCGCCTTACAAGCGGCCAACATGGCCAACCCGAGTTCGATTCCTCCGCCCCTCTCGGAGAGCCCGGCAAGCTTCCGAGAGTATCTCGCCCGCACGGCAGAGCCTGGCAAGCTACCCGTGATGTATTCAATATGCCAAACACAGTAACAACAAAGTCTCCAATGGAGACGTTACTGGGCCCGCTCGAGCAAATCGACGATCAACGGGAGGGCCTTTACCTTTACCTTTACCTTACTAAATACAGAAACAGCATTTATAAAAACTTACACCTTCTCAAAAAAAACTTTCAATAAGCTAAGAATAGAAAAAATTTGGACTACAGCAAGTAGAGTGCCCGCCCTGCACAGGGCCAACCAAGCTCAGGTTCGATCCCTAGCATCCCATATGGTATCCTGAGCATTCATGGCTAGGAGTGATTCCTGAGCACAGAGCCAGGAATAAGCCCTGAACACTGCCAGGTGTGGCCCCAACACAAACGGAACAAACAAAAGAATAGAGAGAAATGATCTCATTGTAATAGAAGCTATGTATGAAGGGCGGGATGTAGCTCAGCCAGAGAACTTGAAGAGCAAGTTACGTGCAGCTGACTCCAGTTCAATCCCTGGCACTAACATGGTCCCCTGGGTGATGCCATGAGTTATCCTTGAGCACAGAGCCAGGAATAAATCTGAGCACAGCTAGGTGTGGCATGCAAAGCAAGCAATTTTACCTTTGAACTCAAACCAAAAATTTTTTTGTTTTATTGAAACTTATTTAGAAAGATGCGGGGGGAGAGAAAGTGGTAAGAGTGTGTTCGAGAGAGAATCCAGGCTTCTCCAGAGTGGAAGTAGGCAAAGGAGCACAGAGGCAAGCAAGGGAGACACGTGTTCAAGTGTGAATAAGGGCTGGAAGTGTAAGCCCAAACCAAAAATTTTATATGAACAAAGGGATAAATGAATTTTATATGAACAAAGGGATAAATGAAAGCTATTGAAAATTTAGTAAAGTATTAACTATTTTCAAGATCAAGTCTATAGATCGTCACTGTCACTGTCACTGTCCTCCCGTTGTTCATCGATTTGCTCGAGTGGGCCCGGTAACGTCTCCATTGGAGACTTTGTTGTTACTGTGTTTGGCATATCGAATACGTCACGGGGAGCTTGCCAGGCTCTGCTGTGCGGGCGAGATACTCTCGGTAGCTTGCTGGGCTCTCTGAGAGGGGCGGAGGAATCGAACTCGGGTTGGCCATGTTGGCTGCGTGCAAGGCAAACGCCCTACCGCTGTGCTATCGCTCTCTTTCTGTTGTCTAAATTGATTTTTGAGACTTAAAAGACTAGTCAACATAAAACATTGAATTGTAGGCCTAGAAAAGACTCAATCCCTAAATTTTAAACATTGAGATTTGAAGGTTAAAAATATTTTGCTTTTAATGTCATACAACAGGTTACAAGAAATATTTATTTTACCAAAAAGATTTTAGAGGAAGGAGGAAATAGGGATAAAAGAAGCAATCAAAGATATATTAAGAAAACAAAAAAACTGGGGCTGGAGAGATACTACAGTAGGCAAAGCACTTGTTTTGCATGCCACCAACCCAGGTTTGATCCCGTGAACCCCTTATGGTTCCCTGAGCACCATCAGGAGAAATCCCTAAGTGCAAAGCCAGGAGTAAGCCCTTTATTTGGTGCTCTCTTCTCTATCTGAGCTTCCTTTTCCCCTAGCACATGTGGCTGGCCTCCAAGTCATGGAGCACAATTCCTGGTACTAATCTCAGCCACTCCTGTTAGTCTCCCATTTTGTTGCTTTATGTTTCCCAGATGAATGCAATCTTTCTGTGTCTATCCCGCTCGAATATCATCACTTAATCACTTAACTTCCCGTTAGTCATTGATTTGCTCGAGCGGGCGCCAGTAACGTCTCCATTTGTCCCTGTCGCGTGCTAGTGTAGCCCAATGGCATCTGTTCGCTCCGGGAACATGAAGGGCCTCAAACCGATTGTTCATGATCTTCACGAAAAAGTCTGACCATCTGGTAGGTGGGCGGCCACGCGGTCTTTTGACATCCCGTGGAATCCAGTCAGTAACAGCTCTAGTCCAGCGGTCGTCTTTAAATCTCATTACGTGACCAGCCCATCTGATTTTCGACACCTTGGCAAATGAGACAGCGTCCCTGATTCTTGATCATCGACGGATGTCAGAACTCCGGATTCTTTCTCTTATTTGAGTGAAACATGATATTCCAAGCATAGCTCTTTCTATTCTTCTTTGGGAGACCTGAATAGCGTTCTCATCTTGTTTGCGTAGGGCCCAGGTCTCTGAGGCATATGTTAATGCAGGAAGAACAGTGGAATCAAAGAGATGTGCCTGGAGCCAGAGGTTCTTCGTCCTCTTAGCTATTTCTTCCACGTTCTTGAAGGCGTTCTAAGCCGCTCTCTTCCTCCTGCGCAGCTCGGGTGCCAGGTCATTTGTCATGTTGACTTCTCGACCTAGGTACACATAGCTGTTGCATTCGGAGATGGTCGTTCTGTTGAGAGCGAATGGGGCATCAGGAACGAGGCTGTTTCTCATAAACATTGTCTTCGTAAGATTCAGCTGTAGTCCTACCTTTCCACACTCACGGTCAAAGTCGGCCAGCATTTGTGCCGCTTGGCTGATATTTGGTGTTATTAAAACAATGTCATCAGCAAAGCGGAGGTGGTGTAGTTGCCGACCATCTATCTTCACTCCCATTCCTTCCCATTCCAGTCATCGCATGATGTTCTCGAGAGTGGCACTGAAGAGTTTCGGTGAAATGGTATCACCCTGCCGCACCCCTCTCTTGACATCAACGATCACTTCTTTGTAGAATGGTGAGATCCTGGTAGTGAATCCGTAATACAACTCACGGAGGATCCTGATGTATTGGCCTTGAATGCCCTCATTGGCTAGGGCTTCAATGACACTACTTCCACTACCCAGCCGTCGCCACACTCCAGGATGCTTTCCGGACCTGCGCGGCCGCAAAGCGGCCGCGCAACACATTATAAGGCACTAAATACCCATCTTCCGGAATTGTTGTACCATATTTGATAGGGTTCAAATATGGTAACACCTACAAGGGTGATTAGAGGTCGCCCCAAAAGCCTCTATCCGTCTCGGAAAGACTGGCAAGCTACCGAGAGTATTCCGTCCGCATGGAAGAGCCTGGCAAGCTATCCGTTGTATATTCGATATGCTAAAACCAGTAACTACAACTGGTCTCATTCACCTGACCCTGAAGGCTTCACCGACATGGCAGCACTGAGAAGGATGAGAAAGGAGAGGCCGACAAAATCTCAAGGCCGACCTAGGCTGCCACAATGAAGGAAGACAAAAATGATCGTCTGTACTTTCAATGCACGTACGCTAGCATCAGATGCATCCATTGAGGACCTGATGGTACAAGTGCGAATGATCAAGTACGACATCATTGGTCTGACCGAGACAAGAAGGCACGAATCTCACCATGCCATTTTCGACACTGGAGAAGAATTGTTCCTCGGAACATGCGATAAAAGAGGTGTTGGAAGCATTGGTGTCCTTGTCAACACAAACTTGGCCAAGAGCATTGATTCATTCGAATGCCTAACAACCCGAATTGGATGTTTACATTTGAATAGATGTGGCTCACTGCCTGCAGTTTCTATCTTAGTTGTC